CATTTAAAAATGTTAATGAGTTTATTAGTGAGTTCTTCAATGTAGTGAAGAGATATATGAATTGAAACTGTATTATTTTGAAGGTTATTTGTTGTATCACTCTAATTCATAGGTTTCACGGAATTTCTACCACTCGAATCATCAAGACCATGGGAGTTAAAAAGAATATTGTTAATTAATTTACGGGGATAGGAATTTTCATAAAGAATATGTCTGAGTAGATTCAAACTTTCTCGTTTATAGATTGGATGTGATAACTTGATGACTTGATGTTGATTTTCATTTTAGGTGGGTGGTATGAATAATCTAAGATTAAACGACTTACCTGTAAGGAAGTTCAATCTTGATTATATGAAGAACCACTACATCATAGACCACCTTGTAGTTACGCCTCTGAGGCGGAAACCGACCACTAGTTTTTACCCGAATGAAAGAAATATTCCATATCAATATACTCAGCCCATTGATTCATTATGATTTTTGGTGCAACTATTTCAGATCGCGTAAGGGTAAGCTAAAAATGAGGGAGGGTTGGGTTGGTCTATGATGTAGTGGTTCTTCATATAATCAAGATTGAACTTCCTTACAGGTAAGTCGTTTAATTTTAGATTATATTTCAGAACCACTCCATCATAGACCACCTTGTAGACGTTTAAAGCATATCAGCGATCTGAATAATACTCTGTAATTAATCATTATGATTTAATAATTCGTAATTTGAGCTCATAAACTTATCATAAAAAAAATGTATATCATATCGGTAGTAATGAATATATAGTTCATAAAATACATTAACAATAAACATTACAACAATAACAATTTATATAGATTGAATTCCCACAAATTTTTAAAATTAGAAATGATAGTTTCAGCAAAATTTTCACTATTAAACAACGGTTTATTATAGAATCTGGCAAACACGCAAGATTTTTCAGACCACCCTGCCGCATTTCTGAATACATCAATAGTTGCTCCACTACGTTTTGCTGCCGAAGTGGAAGCATGCCGCGTGGAATGCGATAAAAATTTTTGAGTATCAATACCGCTTTCAGTTAAGGTTGTTTTGATCCATCGTGAAATACTTTGACTTGAAGCAGCATGGTATAGTCTTCTAAGTGTTATCAATAATTTGTTGACAATACCTCGTAATGTTTGTGTTTTTGATAGGTATTCATTCAGACATTTTGCAACGCAAATCTCTGGCTTTTCATAGAAATATGATAAAATCATCACCGGCTGTTGCCTGCTGGGCGCAGAAGTTTCAATAATTTCTGAAATATTAATTTGTATATTTGAAGACATATCCCTTATGTCAGATATTTTTATGCTAGCACTAGTCTGTACCCTCTGAGCAGACGCCAATGCCAAGACAGTTGCTAACTTGTACGTTATTTCATCCAATGATATGATATGGATAAAGTGTTTCCAAATATTCAAGAACCTGGGAAGGGTCCCAAGTCGTGGAATATTTTGGAAAAACCGGTCTCAATTTGAAAACTCCTTTGAGAAAACGTTTTATTACATCTTCATTATTAAGCGATACGATTATTAATTTTAATGCTGATCTGTGGGAATTTAATGTACCTATTATAATTTGCTCCACACTCAAATTTCTCTTGCAGGAATTGAATTATATCTGATATTCTAGGCTCGAAAACATTCACTTCATGCAGGTTACAAAATACCCACCACTGCTTCAACGAGCTATTATATTGTTTTTTAGTATTAGGACTTAATGATTCAAGTAGGGTTGGAATACCACATTCAGGAATTCCGGTTCTTATATATGTTTCCCTGATAAGCGCGCAGCAACCAGGGTAATCTTCGTCCATATTGAATGCGGTTGTCTGAAAGGGCTCAGCATTAGGTTTGATTTTGATTCAAAATGAATTGGTGGAGAACACATGAGTTTTATATAAATAGGATACCATGGCTGCGTGCACCAATCTGACACTATCAAAATTCCTTCAGCTCTTTCAGTTATTATTTTGTTAAGTACCTTCAAAATAATTGAAAATGGCGGAAATACCATAGAAAAATAAATTTGACCATGATATTGTGAATGCATCTATGCGAATGAAATCTGGGTCTCTTTTCCAAGATACATAATTCTTGCATTTGGCATTAAGCTGTGATGCAAAAAGATCGATAGATGGTTTTCCTAAAACTTGTTTTACTTCACTAAAGACTCTGTCATTCAATAAATATTCTGTTTCGACAGAGAGACTCCGTGATTCCACATCAGCATAAATATTTTTTCTAGAAGGAATATAGGAAGCAAAAACCCAAAGATTTTTAGATTCACACCATTGCCAAATTTCTCGTGTAATTTCATGTAAGGTAATATATTTCACGCCACCCATTCTGTTGATATAGCTAATTGCTGTTGTATTATCTATCCTCAACAATATGTTACAATTATTTTTCAATTGTGTAAATGATTTTAAAGCATTCAATGCAGCTAAAAACATTTACAATAAATTTTGTTGGTTTTGACTCCAAAACCCATGAATTTTTTCATTTCCCGATACTGGTCCCCACCCAGTAGAAGAAGCGTCAGAGTATATTTCTATATCGAAACTTTTAATTTTCAAGTCCTCCTGAGTCTCTGGAATATCACGAATCCACCATCTGATGTCATCTTTAACTGATTCTATAATTTTTATATTCTTTACAAGCATTTTGAGCAGCTTGTGCCGTTTTGCACTTTTCTGCAAACCCAGACCCAAAAAGGAACTGATCCGATAGAGATTCTTCAGCAATCTTTTTTACTTGTTCATTCATCATCGGAAAAATCTCATGTTTTCGGTGTCTCGAAATTAAAAAATGACTCTCGCACAATAATTTGGCAGAGTCTACCAATATTGCTATGATTTTTTCCTTAATATCTTTATGATTGTCACCAGTCAATAAACAATCTAAAACTCGGCAAATTGTACCAAGACCTTCACCCATTTTATCTTGCACTGCCGATAAAAATGTATCTTTCTTCAATTGTATCGCCGAACATAATCCTTGCAGCTCATTATTCAGTTTTGGTGCACTGAGTAGGGGACAATTTTCAGGAATGTTCCATTTGTTAGATACGGAATTTTGGATTTCTTTATCGAGACCTTTGCTCAAATAAACAGACCATCTTGTTGAAATATCCCCGTTTATAGGTTCTCCCATAACCGTGTCTGAAGAGGGGTCAACACCTAACAGATTGACTACAGACAGAGAATCACTTTGTGTAGTTGGGACATCCTGTACCTGCGCCTCTGTTATAATTCTCACAGGTGCGTCTTCATTTGCATCTAGTCATCATCCGTCGAATTGAGATTTCTATGACCCCTCTGTATATTATCATCTCGAGAATTATCACTGCTTCGCGATGTATCACTTTCAGATTCTGACTGACTCACCTAAAAATTTTCCTGAATGAATCAACTGTGAATAGACAGAATAAACAAAAATCAGACAGTGTGATTTCTTTTGCAGCAGTTAAGCACACAAGCCAAAATAGCAGGCACAATATCAACTGCCAAGAATATTGAGCAGTTAAGTACACAAAGCCAATTCAGCTTAATGTACAAGTGAGCATGTCTCAGGAATACGACCCTTGTCGCCACTCCTACTGAAAATAATAAAAGCATGATCATAACCCTTTCATTACTTACTATAAATGTTTTTCATTTGCTTTTTTAATTCCCTAATTTTCTTTTTCATTTTGCACAACTCATCAGTAATTTTCCGTCTTTTACCAGTCATTATTAATAGATGTGATCGGTACCGCGTAGTGGTTCTTCATATAATCAAGATTGAACTTCCTTACAGGTAAGTCGTTTAATCTTAGATTATATTTCAGAACCACTCCATCATAGACCACCTTGTAGATGTTTAAAGCATATCAGCGATCTGAATAATACTCTGTAATTAATCATTATGATTTAATAATTCGTAATTTGAGTTCATAAACTTATCATAAAAAAAATCTATTCTTTTTTAATTATTCTTTTTTACTTGTTTCAGGGATTTCAAATCATTTTATATAATAGACAATGGAAGTCCGAACTAGTGAAATTCATAATAGTTGATGTACCTAACACTACATATTTGTTTACGGTACCATTTAGTACGTAGAACGCCTTCGTTATCTCTGCATATTCGACTGTGAATTGCAAATGTTCGTTGAAACTATTGAAAATATTTAGCAGATGATTTATTTTGTCTGCTGGTAAAGCTGAAATCAAGTCATCTGCATACCTTTTCACAAAAATTTGTTTGTAGTAAGAATTATTGAAGATAAGAAACTTAGAGTCAAAAATATATTGAAGTATAATTTTACTTTAAGGAGCAACAGTTTCTAACTGTGTCCACTTTCTGCTAACGCAATCTGCAATAACCGGAAATGGGTGGTTGGTGAATAACGATACAACGTCGAAACTTACCAGCACATAGTCTGGGGTAATTTTGTAATTATAAATGAATTCGCTAAATTGGAAAGAATCTTTTATGTGAAAACTATTTTCTGTGTCATAGGCCATTGTCAAAATGTCTGTAAAGAAGTAAGCTAATTTATTATTAGAGGCATATAATGAGGAGACATTAGGTCTCATTGAAAGACTTAGCTTGTATATCTTTGGCAATGCTTACACACATCTATGTGATCACGTTTATTCGTGACTGACCTAAAATAAATATTCTTAATCGCACCATGCTGTTGTACAATTTAGATTTCAATCTACAATCAAATGTAGTTAAAAACCAAAATCAATCTACATTTATACTGTTTGATCAGCATAAGATGATCAACAAGTAATGATTGTTATGAAGGAACGAGTTTCTCTCAAACTCTCGATAGTAAGAAGTCTCATCCATTCTATGAAATTGTAACTTTGTTTTTAATGTTTCCGTCTCACTTTCGAAGAGGTAACTTCAGCAGAGGATCACAAGGAATTATATTGAATACAAATTCGAAATTGAAATAATTGGGTATTACTGAATTTAGAAAATCTCACCTAGGACCACAGTTTCAGGTCCTCTCAGAAACTTTGGATCCGCTCGTTCCCCGTTGATCATCCAGTCCAATTGGGCGGCTGGCTTAGATTTTCCAGATGTGCAATTTACTTTAACGGTATCACCAACTTGATAGCGGGGACGCCCGCCTGTTATTTTTGGACCCTCCTCGGGAAGAGCTGAAACAAAAATAGTATATTCAGAATTGATTATATCCAAAAATTTTTTAATTAGAAACTCAAGACTATTCAATGCATAGGAAAAAAGATGGTTTTTATCATCATCAGGTAGCCGAATCGGTTCATTGAATGAAATATAATAGTGACACACATGTTGCGGTTTTGTAAACTATTTAGTGGTAATCTCACAACGAATTGCCATTCGAATACGTTATGTATTTTTATCAAGTATCGACGAAATCCTTCACATAGGGTAACAGTCCAGTAAATGAACGAATAACGATAGTTGTCACGTTCTACAACCATAACTTATTTTTCTTGTTAGATTAATTTTTGTGTGATTAGTTTTATTACAACTTCACTGTGTTTATAATCGTTATATATCATAAAAATGTGCAATTTGTTATAATTTTTTGTATTGAAATCCCTTGAAGATCAAAAACTACCAAACACCTAATGAATGAACACCATAGCCTAATAAACGCCCAGTTATTGAACAAATGCTTTATTTGTTTGAACACAATCATTATTTTGTTCAATGCAACGTTATTTGATTTTATAGCATAATATTTAGTTATAATATCAAATTCAATTGTTGTCAACATAGAAAATCCCACCTGTGTTATAAGGAACTGGAGCAGAAATTTTTTTTTCAGTTTCATTTTTAGCTTTTTAGCTTCTTGTAATCATATATTATTTGAAAGTATTTTATTGTTAGAAGAATTTTTATACTGTTTTAATATTTTGTATATAGGTACCATTTTTACCTTTTTGGACTTCTATTTATATGAGTATTTCCTATTTTCAAATGAAAAAATAAAATAACTAAACCAGTTGATTGCTGATATCATTGTTATTATTCACCCTGTATTGGCCATTGTGAATTGACAATAACTCATTACAAGAAACAAATATGATACAGCTCCATATTCATAATCAAACGATTTTTCAGAAATAAAAACCCAGAAATTTAAAAGTATTATTGCCAGACATCTGCATCCTTTTCGGAAACATATTTACCATCCCCAATAAAGGAGATTATAGCGAATCCTCTCAATTTTATTGCAGCATCAGCAGCCGAATGAATGCACGATCCACAATAAATTTATATTGAAATCTCCCACTTTTATTTTTATTTTGAAAAGGATCCACGAACAGCGTTGGATTCACAAAGCTCGCTGTACGATTGTAAATCATTGCATGCGAAATGTTCGGCCCATTCGATGTTAGCTAATATTAAGGAAGTTAAGATGGCCCAAAGCTATATTTAACCCCAAGACCTCGTTATATTCATTCGATTCTCCTATTTTCCTTCCTAACGGTCATGAAACGAGTTTCAGTACAATGGCGGATTGGAAATATTATTTTCATGTCTTGTATGCATTTTGGAATGATATGTGACAATAAAATATAGGGTTTGGTAGAAATATATTGGAAATTTATTGGTAAAAAGGCTTTCTCTATTGGAATTGGGTCCAGTAGTTTGATTTGTAGGGGCATCGCAGGGTATTGGACAATAATAACTTTTACATTTATATTATTTCGTGCCCATATAGCTGATCTACCACATTTTTTTATATGTCTGCGGTAAAAACTTCTCAAGGTGAAACCTGAGAAGACCATATTGTCTAAAAATGCCGCCTTAACACCTATCTTAGCTATACGCAAAGACTCCAGACTACTGTATCATATTTTGAGTTGTGGTTGCGGGATCCACCCTGCTTACATTCAAGTGAAGAAACTTCGGGACACCTTTGATTTTTTCACTGTTTTCTCCAACAATGTTCCTTCGTGTTCTAGATTTTTTGAACGAGATGGTCTGCCATTCTCCGTGTTCCCTCGAATCATCTGCGCTAGCTTCTGAATGATTGGCTGTGTCATTTATATTAGTAAAATGGCTGAGCTGACTGCGTTTCCGCTCGTAAAATAGCGGCTCCCACCTTCTTTCTACTCACATGAGAACTTTCTTGGCCAGGTTTTATCGAATAGTGTGCGTTATCGTACATAATATCTTTCTGGGTACCAGTAAAAGATTTTTGTTCATTTTCCTTCATTTGGTTATTAGGAACTTGGGATTTTGAAGGGGAGCTTGCAACTGCGCAGTCTTCATTATTATTGTGACTATTCAAGAATTTACCATCTAATCAGGGCCGTAGCAAAAATAAAAACTAGGGGGGAGGGAATCCAAATTTTCCCAACTCCACCAGGAAAATTTCCCAACTTTCAAAAAAATGAAAGCCGAGGGATTAGTTACTACTATAATATATTAATTTTCTTACTTAGCTATCCAAAGATTGGCTGAATGATTATGCCTGTTAGGGTATGCACAAACAAAAATAAATTTTGGTAATTATAAAAATAATAATGGGAATTATTCTACTTTGGACCAAGGTCCTTAGTTTTCCACCATATCCACCATGTATAGGAATATTCAATTCAAATGAAAGGAAATAACACTTTAAAATAATATTGTGCTTATTGTTTTCTACTATTATTTTTTCTATCTTCACGGCCCGAAATTTCCCAACTTTCCCAAGTCGAAAAAACAGCGAAAAGTTGTAAATTCTGTAAAATTGTCACTTCAAAATTTGTGGACTGTTCAGGACTGTTTCCTTACTCGGGAGAAATTAAACTTTTTTGAAGTTTTCAAACAACTCAGAATTTCAAAGTATGGGATCTCCAAGTTATGCATGGGAAATCCCAACCTTCTCCTGGTAATTTCCTTTTTCTTCTCCCTCCTTTTTTTTCCTCATTTTTTTTAATTTTTATTCATTTTTTTACTATTATTTTTCCATTTTCTTCACTGCCCAAAATTTACCAACTTTTTCCCAAGTTGAAAAAGCAGGGGGGGAGGCTCCCCTTCCACCCCACCATGGCGACGGCCTTGCATCTAATGACAATAAGTTGTTGCTGATTATACACTATTCTCTCTAACTCACGTATGAGCCTTTCTGATACCTCTAGTTCGGTTATTGCAGGTCACACTTCAGTGCCATAACCTCAATGTTGTCACTATCATGATTTGTGGATATATCACTTACAGCTGTCAAAAATTCAGAGTTATTCTAGCTGGTAATGAAACAAGAAACATTATCACTCAAATTAATGTCACTTGGAATTTGTCGATTACTTATGTAACGTATCAAATCGACTTTTTTCAAACGCTGCAATTCTTGCTCAACTTCTAGGTTGGTTGCCATGTTGCCATGTTCACCAAACCAACACCACATCTATGTCTTTGCTGACGTTTCGCCATTATATTTATCGCTTCCTCAGAGCTACGAGAAAAAACAGAAACCATTCATCTCAAGTACTTGTTCGATACCCAGCGATTACCCTACAAGAAATTGTTTAATTTTAAATCATAGTTCGTTGAAGGCACTAGGAAAATCAGATGAAATGTTTTAGTTTGCTTTGAAACTATATATTCATGACTACTGTAAGAAATTATTCGAATTGCTCAACGGAAATCCGATAAAGACACAGGGGCAGTGATATGAAAAATACATCGAATCTATACATATAAATGTGAAAGTCACCCACTTAACACTGACTCATTCATCTCTGTTTCTCCGTTCTGGTAAGTCCTTGAAAGATGAAATTTGGCGCTTCTTAGGTCTTAGATGCGCACTAAAAAAAATTTTCACAAATGTTCCAACCCCCAGTAGTGGTAAAAGGGGCATTTACATTTTAATTACTGTTTCTCCGTACTGCTATATTTTCAAAGACTGAAACTCTGTACCACGCTGCAAATTTCCAGCAAGAGAGGATATTTGAATATTCGAACTGGGGTGCCGCCTCGCTGGGGATGAAAGTGTCGAGGATATGAAAATTATCTTTTCATCATTTTTTCTCCGTACCGCTGTATTATCGGATACTGAAATTCTGTATGTAGATTCGTTCTATATTGTAAATGTGCAATAAATAAGGATTTTTAAATATCCCCACCTGGGCGCCCCCACTTGGGATGAAAGTGCGCGTTTACATATGAAAATTAACTTTTCATCACTGTTTCTCCATACCGCTAAATTTCCGGACACTGAAATTTTGTATGTAGCTTGTTTTATGTCGTAGATGTGCAATAAAAAAGGATTTCCGAATAATACATCTGAGGATCCAGAAGCAGGGAATGAAAATACATTCATAACAGGGTTACTTTTTCACCACTGTTTCTCCATAACGGTATATTTTCGAAGGCTCAGCGTTTCCTTTTTTTATATATAAAGGGTTTTCCATTAGGTACTTGACAACTTTGAATTTAATTTGTGAACGCACTATTTCACTTTTCTTTGTTTTAGTAAACTCATGGAAAAGTACGCGAACGAACAAGGTATGCAAATTATAAAAATGTACTACTGACATTCGGAGTCGGTGACTGCAACTTTAACAGCCTGGCCACGGAACCCTCGCCGATGCGAATATTCGCCCGATGCGAACAGCGAACCGTCTAGCGACTGAAACAAACGCATAGCAATGTACTTATGAAGCCATGCACAACGGCGACCGGCGAAGCGACCGGCGAAATGTACCAAACGAACGGCGTGGGCGAATTTCGGCGCGACAGGCGAGTAAAACAAAGACATAAATCAGTACGGCGCAAGCCACGCAGTCGAGCGGTAGTTGCGGCGAATAGTGCAGTGATCAAACGAGTTTAGTTGTTTTCGCCACGACAAATGAACACCAAGACTTTCATTGCTGAAATATTAGCTAGACCAGCTATTTGAGAGACTGATTGAGAAAGTTAGAAATTCAATGATTTTGACTTCATACACATCAGTAATCACGTTTTCATTAATCTTGGTTATTAACTCAGAGATAGATTTTGTAATGAGTCGCAAGACTCTCTAGTCACTGCGAACTACAAGGACTCCTGGTAAAGTTTGAAATAGAGCGGAAGATATGAGAAGCATTTGTAATCCAGCACCAGACAGCGATGTTTCGATCGACATAGGTACCATCAGTGGATGTGAAAAACTGGATTCAACTTCACTCAAAGAATT